CTCTCTCTCTCTCTCTCTTTCACACACACACACACACACACACAAACCTGCATGATTTATAATTTTATAATTATAATTTATAAAGTATTTTAATATTTGGCTGGACGGAGAGAAACCAATATACAACCTTCATAAACACTACTGGGCAGAGGATCTGCAGAGACCCTATACAACACTGCCCAGATTGGACATTTGGACTACATTTTATTCCCTCAGCTTTTTTAAAACTCTGAGGTACCCATCTCAAAAAAAGAAAAAAAAAAAAGGAAGAATACATGAATACCAATTTGCAGTTTCTAAAGAGTATGTTATTGTACTAATTCAAGATGTTATTCTCTTTGGGTGAGTCTCTCAATTCTGAAATTCACATCCCCACACAGCAGATCCCATTACACTTGTTATTAGATCAGGGCAGCCAGTCATCAGCAAAGTGTGATGTCTTCCCATAATGTGGTCAGGAAGGACACTTCAGAAAACATCAATCCCCACAAGGCCATTATACCAGAAGAAAAAAAAACAAAAAACAAAAAAGTCTCCAAAGTAGCTCTTGAGACTGAAGTGCAAGGAAAACCTTCTAAGACGTCCCTGCTTAGAGCCTGCTGTCTCCGATTCGAACACAATGGAAACTGGGGTGTATTCAGGCAAGACAACATTAAATACTGCCCTACAAAGTTCTTTAAAATGTACATTTAATGTAACCACTTCTATTCACTGCTGGGCAGGCAGAATGAGGAAATGGATTTAAGAAATTCAAATTTGCCTAGTAATTAGAGTACATGTAACTGGAGACCTTAGTGGAAAATATTCCTGAGTTGGTGTACAAAGTTTTGGACATCCACATTTTTCAAAAAAGGATCTACAGAATTCACACAGTTTAAGGGATAGTACACCACGGAAACTGGAGGGGCTGTTATTTAAAAATCTTACAATTTTTTAACTACACAGAATTTTTAACTAAAAATAATGAATAGCTAGATAAAGGGGCACTCTCTTGCAATCCTGGCACTTGGAAAGTGAAGGCAGGAGATTAGCTTTGACTACATAGTGAGATCCTTGTCTCAAAAAACTAAAGCCAATACTGAAGAGTCAGGAAGTGTCACGTCCCTTTAATCTCACACCAGGAGACTGAAGCAAGTCGGTCACTCTAAGTTTCAGGCTAGCTTGGACAATAAAACAAGACCTTGTCTCAAAAATAATAAAATTTAAAAATAAAAATAGCTATCCTGAAGCTAGGGCTGGTGGCATACACCTGTAACCCCAACACTGGGGAAGCAGAAGTCAGGAAGATCTGGCACAGTTCAAGGCCAGCCTGGTCTACATAGTGAGCTCTAGGCAAGCTATATGCTCCAGGCAAAAATGAGATTCTGTCTTAAAAAATGTTTCTAAATAAAAAATATATATTAAATATTAGATATTATATATTAAAAAAGTGCTATGCATGGTGGTATACACCTGTAATTCCAGAATTTGAAAATCAAGAGTTCATGGTCAGCCTCAGCTACATAAGACCAAGGCCAAACTAGGGCACTTGAGTCCCTATGTGAAAATAAACAAGGCCAGTGAGATGGTTGAGCAGATAAAGTCACTCAGTTCCAAACATGACAATCTGCCTTCCATTCCCCAAACCCACACGAGACTCCCACAAGCTGTTCTGACCTCTACATGCACACTCACATATATACATACACATACCAAAAAATGGTTTTTTAAATTTAATTATAAGAAAAAAATAATTTCCAAAATTAATGAGCATAGAACTAAAGGGTTTAGCTCAATGGGAGAATGCTTGCCTATAGCATGTGTGAGGCCCTACATTCAATCTAAAAACCTAATGCTGGCAAAAACAAAAATAACAATAATGAACAGAGTATAGTCCGTTACAAAATATTTTTACTCTAAGATCAAGAATTAAAATCTTCTGGCCCATAAGCTATAATCTTAGAATTATACTGAAACAGAACACATTTCATAACAAAATAAGTGCCCAACAATATAAACCTTATCATGTCAACATGAGAAGTGGCCAATTTAAATCTGGTCCTTCCTTAACAAGAATGCCAATGTCTACTTTGCTATTTAGGTTTACTTTCAAGAAAAACTTAACTGAGCTAACTGGGCTGTCCCACATAAGAAGCTGGAGCTTATATGGAATGCTTCCCTGTTAAAATGAGGGTCCTGGCAGGGCAGTAACCCAAACCAAGAGACCTGAGACAGACAGAACAAAAAGACTGTCCTAGAAATGCAGACATGTTGACAACTGGCAGATGACGTCATCTCCCCCATGAAAGACTTACTGTTTTTTCAGCTGCCTCTGGCCTCTTCTTTTTGGACTCCCGCTCTCAGACCCGCTACTTGCCTTCAGTGTATGAGGGGGAAAATGATTACAGACTTTAGTTCACAGTGAGATTTCAGACAGAATGAAACCTAAGCACTTGCTAGGTGGAGCCCACTCTTCTTCTGCTTTGAAAACCAATGTCACTTTCTTTCTCAAACCTGTATTTAGCTCAGACATCCAGAGAAGCAACATCAAATACACCTTCCTACAGGTAAAAGTTCTATACTTATAATGTCCAACATGGTGAGTGAGCCTTCAGCCACATGTGAACTCAGCACTTAAAATACACCTTGCCTAGTAGGGTTGAGGAACAGAACTCTAAATATAAATTTTAAAAGCCACATGTGTTAGCAGTAACCATACAGGATGCTGTAGGTGTAAAACAACATAAGGAAATATCACATTTAGTGAGTATGCCTTAAAGGCACCGCCTGCTGATGTATTCACTTTAGACTTGATTGACGAGCATCTGTAATCGTGAATGAAGAGCTAACAGCACTAGGCCAAAGAAGGATTACAGTCACAGCCACTGAAACAGCTTCTTCCCTCAAACAAACAAAATGGCACTCCCCTGACGCTGTTAGTTTGGGTCCTACTGAGGATCTACTGATGCATGAAACAGGAAGGGCATACAGATGTGACTGGATATAAAGAGTACGGCTCAGTGGCCAGGACACTGTGGGAAGGGGAAGCACAGGCACACCAGCTCAGAAGTCAATCAGAACTCAGAGAGCAGACACATGCAGGTGCGGGCATGAACCTGACTGTCAGAGGACACGTACTGAAACCCAGACCTAGCTCTCCACACTTGCCTATCAACACAGAACTTCCACTGCAGGATGTCACACAGCTGAACAAACAGCAGAGAGGGACAGTGCGCTGAGACAGGAGTGTCCCTTAGAAGCTGCTCTGCAAACCAATGGCACACCCTGAGAAACATGAAACGAGTCCACTCTAGGCACATGGGAACCCAAACACTACCGGCTTTAAAAAGCACCAGTCTAGGCACTGGAGATGGATGTAGTGAGTGACAGGGTGCTTGCTACAAATGCTCAAGGACCAAGACTGTGGCCCCATCACTAAAAAAAAAAGGTACTCCATCTCTCATAGTTAGACCAGAAAAATGAGTATTTTAGGAACTAGTTTTCTATCTCACACTACAATTGAGATAGAAAATGGAACTTTGTTTACATAAATGAAGAAAAACAAAGACATGAAACACTCCTCTTTCCTCTCTGGAGTAAATCCAAAATCATTTCCACGTTCCATTTGTTCAGCACTTAACAAAACATTAGGATAGTAGGTGTCTAAAGTGAACTGGTCACAATCACACACTCTCAGAAACTCCACTTTTAATTAACTGGCACCATGCCATCCTGGAATGAAGCATTAACTAGTATGTGTTGGGAAGTGTTTACTAACTTCTTGCGCCCCCCCCCCCATCTGTTCATAGAAAGCCCCATTAGGTCACTTTTAACTGCCACACCTGAAGCTGTCTTTTAATAGTAATATACACCAGTCACAGAAGATGAGGTAAGATAGGGAACCAAAACACATCCCCTCAAATCATTTTTTCTTACCTCTTCCTTAATGTTAAATCGTGATGGTTCTTGTCTGCTTCGGTTTGACCGCCTAACCCCATAAACATCAGGATATTCTTCCCACATCTGCAAAATTAATAGACTGCACTTGAATCATTTCCTTAACTATATTACTATTATCAGTATTAGAACACTTATTTCAAATCAAACAAAATCATGTAACTACCCAAAGGGTTGTTTTGCTAGTTTTTTGTTTTGTTTTGTTTTGTTTTGAGCTGAGGATCGAACCCAGGGCCTTGTGCTTGCTAGGCAAGCCTAGCAAGTGCTCTACCACTGTGCTAAATCTCCAACCCTGTTTTGCTAGTTTTGAGAGAAAGCTAAGCGGTATCCTTTCAAAGGAACAGGCATTTAAAAGAAGTTTAACCATGCCTTCATGCCATTAAAACTGTTGAGCACTGCTTACTGTTACTAAACTAAACCATCTGATTCCTTCAACAAAATACATATTTCTGAGGAATTTTAAATTTCCTGATGCTTGCAGTTTCAATTAGAAACAAACAAAAAACCAAGCAGAAGAGCCCTGCAGAATCTAACCAAACAAGGCAGCGCATCCAGCTACCAGTTCTCGAGAAGAGAACCACCACGACTTTCTCCCTAGCACACCTACTTTACTTCACTAGCAGTAATGAGCCCTCTCTCTGCCTTTCAGACTCCTGCTAACAATTTTCAGCAATTTGAAAAGGTAACCTTCAAGGAGGGACTGGCTGAGGTGCTTTGTTTTTCCTCTCTCTTCCCTACAGATAACTATGTTTAAGTAAACTGTTCTTTTTACATGAAATCACAGAAAAGCAAAAGGAATCTGAATGGACTGTGGGACACTGGCGTGAAGATGTTTAGACATGGTTAAACATGTGGAACAGATGTTAGAAAACCAAAGTCAGGAATAAGAGTTTTATTAAAAACAGAAGCAGTAGCCGGGTGGTGGTGGTGCTTGCTTTTAATCCCAGCACTCAGGAGGCAGAGGCAGAGGCGGATCTCTGTGAGTTTGAGGCCAGCCTGGTCTACAAAGTGAGTTCCAGGACAGGCTCCAAAGCTACACAGAGAAACTCTGTCTCAAAAAAATCCAAGAAAAAGAAAAACAAAAAACAAAAAACAAAAAACAAAAAACAAAAAACAAAAAAAAAAAAAAAGAAGCAGCAGCCAATGTCATGAAAGCATTTGGAAATTCCAGGCAGAGTATATGCAAAGGACGAGGAACTACTGTCTGAGGCCAGCAGAATGTTTGCACTTAAGTATGTTTTCCCTAGGGAACTGGACAGCAAACATTCTCTGCTACATGGCTATTTCACTCTGAAAATGTAATGGGAAAGCAACCACAAAGTATCTACATATGGGGGGTGGGGGGATGACACAGGACACCATGTTCTCAACACAGCATTTCTAAGTCTAGAACAGCATTGGCAACAAGTCCCATTGTGTTTCTTTGTCTTAAAAGTTTTAATATGACAAATAAACTTCACATGCCTAAGCCAGGCATGGTGGTGCATGCCTTAAATCCCAGTACTCAGGAGACAGAGAAAGGCAGACCACTGTACTTTCAAGGCCAGCCTGGTCTACACAGTGGACCTGCAGGACAGCCAGGAATGCATGCTGAGATCCTTAAGGGGGGGAGGGGGGGAGACCTGCCCTCAAAAAGCCAAAAGATTAAACAAAAACAAAAAAAGACACTAAGCAAAGGAGGACAATATTAACCACTGACAAAAAAAAAATAGATACAGTAAACTGAAACACAAGGAATAAACTGAAAAGCAAACAAGTAAAAATGGCCCAGGAATAGGCATATTAGAACCAGAATCCAATCCAATTGTATGATTCAATGTCGTCGGATTCCCTAATAATGGCTTTAGAATTATCCCAATCTTAAAGGACAAAAGGCCCAACCAGAGTTAGGAGCGATCAAATGGGAGGAAATACAAGTGGGAGAGACAGGTAAATGCACAACACACTGGCCCCACCTGGTAGAGAAAGAAGTAGAAAGATGTGTCCGCTAGCCTTTCTGCCCACACCCACACCTATTCCTGTACCGACCTCTGAGAGAAATGATTTGTCTGACAGCGCAGAGAATGTGATGGCGTCTTTTTTAGCTGCGATGCATCAGTCAGGCTAATATGACTACACCAGCCAGTCTCCCCTCTCTCAGACTTGCCTAGGCATACTGGCCCCAATGCTGCAACTGTGCTCCAAGTCATACTGTACTACTTACACCCCAAAGCAGCTTGTATTATTTGTCCCTTAGAGGCCACCTAATTCTGCTCTTCCCAAAAAGAGCTGACATGTGAACTCACTCACTATTGAGTGCCCCCTACATGGTTAATAAAACTTTCCTCCTGTTAGGGAGAGATGGAGGAAGCTAGCATGTAAATAGGATGGATATACAAAGTAGTCTTTTTGGAATTTCTCATTCATGGTAATTCCTCTACGAGGTCCAGCTAATTGGAATTATACATTTTTACCTTTTTAGTACTGATTGCCTTAACCATAAAAAATTATCTTAATATTTCTAAAGATGTAATTACATCTTGAAATCTTATGTATGTTTGTGTGTGTATGTATGTATGCATATATGTATTCTTCTGGTGGAAACTGAAGATACAAATCCAATCTCAGTAATGCTTTCTCAAGCCAGGATTAGTGGCATACAACTGCCTGTAAGTCCAGCTCCAGTAGACGGACACCCTCTCTGGCCTCTTCAAGGACCAGAAAACATATACCCATGAATAAAAATAAACTATTTTTTAAAAAAAAAAAGTCAGGAGCAGGGGTGGGTTGAAGTGCATGCCTTTAATTGTAGGTTTATCTCTGTGAGTTCAGGGCCAGCCTGGCTTACATAGTGAGTTCCAGGACAGCCAGGACTACATAGTAAGAACCTGTCACCAAAAAAAGGGGGAAAAAAAGAGCCTGGCCTCATGGCACATGACTTTAATCACAGTACTCAGAAGGCAGAAGCAGGCTGCTTCTGTGAGTTTGAGACATCTGGACTAAGAGTTCCAGGCCAGTCAGGGATATATAGAGAACCTATCTCAGAAAAATAAAATAAATCTAATACGTTTTTCTACCCCTTGCCATCCCCAGGCCCCTAAAAGTCAAATACCATTACACAACTTTGCTGAGAACTGAAATAACTGTTCAACTCAAGTCTGTCTCAAGAGCTCCAAATGGTTCTTTTAACTGCAAATTGTCTGAAAATTTTCACTACCACCTACAATTTACTATCATTTCTAGTATGAAAACTAGTATGCAGAATATAAATTTAAACTTAGATTAGTTTAAAAGATGACAGCATAAAATTTAATTTTATTAAGATTTTTTTTATTTTTTTAAGAAACAGAAAGCAACGTTCTTTTGTAGTGGTTCGCACGTAACTCTCTCAGATAAAATCTCACAAGTTCAGATGTGGTGGGCTGGGAAGTAGCTCTGCTGGCATAATGCTTGTCTAGCCTGTACAAACCCAGCACTGCAGAAAACCATGCATGACAGAAGTACATGCCTCTCATCCCAGCACGAGGGAGAGGAAGAATGAAGAGCTCAAGGTCACCCTCGGTTGCAGTGAGTTCAGGGTCAACCTGGGCTACATGACATCCTCTCCAAAAAAGTTCAGACACCTGCTGATCTAGTATAATCACTAGTTCTTTTCCACCAAAAAAGGGATGTATTCCAAAGTTTGGACTCAATGTGAAAACATTATGCAAGTTAATTTTTGCCTTTTGTAGTCTCTGCTATAAGATTCTTTTTTAGTAAGTCAAATACAACTACAATGCCTTCACTCAGGCTGTTTTTCCTTTCCACTGCTCAGGCAAGGACAACTCTCTTATGACAGTGCAAGGTCAGGCCTGTAGTCCAGCACACAGGGTGGAAGGAGGAGCATCTGGAGTTTCAGGCCACACCAGGCTATACTGTAAGACCCTGTCTGAAAAAAGGGCTATGTGGAGAGGGAAGGACCGGTCAGGCATAATGGGGCACACCTCTCAGCACTTGGGAGACAGACACAGGAGGATCAGGAGTGCCAAAACCAGTCTTGGCTGTACTGCAAGCAAGTTCCTGGCTAGCCCAGGGTACATGAGACCCTATCTCCAGAAAGAGACAAACACAAAGACATACTAATCAATCTTCTTTGGAAACACATTCTACTGGTTGGTCCTGGATAGGAACAAACTTGCAATATACAGCCCAGGAGATACCTTCTTCACGTCAGCTATCCGTTCCTTCTTAGAGGCAGGCTTCTCTTTGGCTTCTGGAAGGACTGGCTGTGATTTGGAACCTGCTGATTCACTTTCAGATTCTGACTGACTCTCAGAAGATTCAGAACTGCTATTGGACTCGCTGCCATGTCCACTTCCGGGGTCACTGCCCTGTTCACTTTCCGACTGACTGCCAGAGTCTGAACCCGAAGCTTCTTCAGAGGCCGAATGACTTAACAGAGAGAAAGGCAGAGAGAGAAAGCCTTAGAAACATTTAACAACTGCCACACAAATTGGGTTTTTAAATCCCCTGGTAATGTCTTCAGACCACAATTACAGCAATTTAGCATCCCCATCTCCAAATTCATTTTTATTCTTGTGCTGCAAATAATGCTTTCCTATCATTTTCAACCTTGACCTTCGTAGTTTTTGACACCATACGTATACCAGGTGATTTACATTTTCACACATTCCAGTCAACATAGGCCCCTTCATTCCAATGGGTATTTAAGGAACTCTCTAAGATCTCACTGAAACACTACAATCTGTCTACTAAATCGTATCTAAGTACCAATATCCCCTTCAAAACAAAAATATTAATAATTTCAGAAATGACAAAAACAAACCCATCCCCAAAGGAAGAATGCTATTATCTAATCAGTGGTTCTCAATGACAGGGGTTAGACACAGGGTTGGGATCTATACACATTAGCTATAGTCCACAGGTCCTGCTTCAAAGCAATGACTGTAATGATAATCCCACCACCAGTCTGATAATGGCCTGTGTACATCCGATCCCCTTCCTCACTGGAAACTACCCTCGGATAAGAACAATCTCGAGGCAGTAACATTGGTGAATGCCACAAAACAAACTTTAGGTTAAGAGGGAGACACAGGAGCACAAAGCTTGAGATGGAAGTTTCCTATTTACCACCATTGCATCTTCCAAACTAGAACTGAGGTCACACAACTTAAATGACTACAGAGGAGAGAAGCGGACTGCAGGTGGACAGCAGGGGGCGCTAGGCTTCAGCATATATATATACATATATACCAGGTGTGGTGGTGCACACTCAGAAGACCTAGAAATTAAAAGGCAGCCTCTGCTACAAAAACAAGTTGGAGGCCAGCCTGGAATACATGTTCTCCTGCCAAAATATGAAAAAAAGAAAGAAAATAAATTACTGGAAACTTGAATTGATCCAAATCTACAAAAAGTACATTACAGTAGAGGTCGTTAAGTCAAGACAAGATGACGAAATGAAAAAACTTGTGTCTAAGAAGGAAAGGTGGAAGAAATACAAACCTGATCACCTCAGTGTCAGGCATTATGCGAAATACTTTACACATATTTATTCTCCAGAACAATTCTATGAAAAGACAAGAGACTTTAAGAAACTCAGCCTCTCTCTCTTCCTTTGGAAATCTATACCTATCCCATCTCTCCCTTTCTAGCTGTATATTTTTTTCCATTTAATTGTACGTGTATCAGTATTCTGCCTGCATGTGAGTCTGTGTGTGTGTGCAGTACACACAGAAGCAGTTGGATCCCCTGGACTGGAGTTACAGCTGTTGTGAGGAGTCGTGAGAATCAACAGGATAGAGTCCTCTGAAAGACCAGCGAACACTCCTAACTGCAGAGCCGTTTCTCCAGTCCCCTAGCTGTGCCGCTGTTTACCCTGCCCCACCCACCTCCAGAGTCGTGAGCGTTATACAGCAGCTACGAAAGCAGCAATACTTCACCACAAACGCCTCCCTTACCCAGAAAGTGGGAATCTGAGCCTCGCACACTGCCTCAGACTCCCTAACACAAAGTTCTCCCAACCAGGGAGTAGGTAACACAAAACTCAGAGTAACAAAACGACTTTGTCAGCTTTAGCTGTCACCATTTGCACACAGAGATGAAGAACTAGCTGCAAAATTTCCTTATAACTTAGAGATTCAGAAGGGACATTCTCCCTGAAATGGAAGCAAGGAAGAATCTAAAAGCTACCCAGCTGAGTGCTTACAAAGGTCTGCCCCTTACAGCCCCGACACCCCAGCCTGGTCTTTTTACCCTAGCCTCTGACGATTGCCCCCATGCTCATGTCTGTATGATTCCCACCTCTGTCTCTAAGATTTACTTTTTTTTTTTTTTGTATTAGTGTTTTGTTTCATGTTTGTCTATGTACCATAGGCCAGAAGAAGGTATCAGATATCAGATAACCCGGAACTGGAGTTACAGACAGTTGTGAGCTACCATGTAGTTGCAGGGAACTGAAGCTAAGGTTGTCTACAAAACCAGTAAGCCCTCTTAATTGCTGGGCCCTCTCTCCAACCCCCTGCTCATCTCTTCATCATTCCTTCCCTCATCCACATTTGCTCCATGTAACACTTGTAGAAGCATGGCATAAATCCCAGTACCATTCACCTCCAATCCAGTACACAGTGCTTATGCAGCAAACTAAGTAACTTTGAGAGCTTGGGTATCATCTTCTGCAGGAAAGCATGCTTTGCTCTCTCACGTACCATGCTCAACCTATTAGGCACTTCCAAATGCTGACCTATCACTGCAATTACCACCATGAAAGTAAAAACTGGCAGCCCTACCTTCGTATCGGCTTCAACTTCCAACCTCTGCTACCTCTCACTTTTCACCAGGACTCCGGCCCCTAGGAAACTGAATCCAAAGCCCCAGCAGTTGGGTTGGGGGAATGGTTGAGTGGTATAGTACTTGCCTAGTCATGCATAATCTGAGGCTTGGTCCCACAACACCTGTCAAAGACTGATAAATAGAAGATTGGGTAAAGTCCAGCTATTTACTTGACACTTACATTACCCTGTCTCCATTTGTCCCATCCTATAAAAATAATGTGGTCACTCGTCAAAACAGGCTTGAAAGCTTAGGCCATCTTCTCAATGTTCCTTGTGCCTGGTATATTGCAGATTACTGACTGAGCTAGAATAATACAATGTACCTGCCTTCGTTTCCCAACTCCAGACAAGAACTGTGGGTGGAGTCACATGACCATCATCACAACCAAAATTGTCAGAACAGCACAGTAGTCAACAAACTTACTCTCTGAGAAAAGAAATATGCCAATGTTAACTACCTGCTTAAAGACCCAGGAAAAAAGCTATGAAAGACAGCTTTAGTTCACTGCAGAAACTAGTAAGGCCAGTTAACTAGAAAGGCTTTTAGTCCTGTGCTAAACAGCAAGAATCACAGGAGACTTAACAGAATGTCAATGCCATGTCAGAAAGACAGTTCTCTGTGAAATGCCACACAATGAAGCTGGATTTCAATGTTTACTTGGGTTATTTTCAAATTGTTCTCTTAATAAGCTATAAAAAGCTGTGATTCATTTCCGTATATCTTTATTTCTAAGCAGAATATTTAGGTTGTTTTGCCATTGCTCACTCTAACCAGTAAAGCTATAAATATTCTTGTATATACCTTCTTCTAAGACAGCTGTGTTTCTATTTGTGTACAAGTAACCATTAGGAATGTAACACTGCATACAATTATCACAAAAACACCCACATTCCCATTAGCACACATATATGTATGTAAATGTCAATCTACAAATTTGTTCAGTGGCTGATTCTGTAGGAAGGGGAAGGCTGGTAGATTTCATAGATCAGCTTATGCTTGTAAAATAAAAAATAAAACACAACAGAAATCAAACCTAAGGAAATAAAGCTCTAGCCCCCTGTGGAGCCGAGAGACACAGGTGTACGCAGGTAAGACACTGGCATTCTTAGAACTTTAGTGGTGAGCTCACAGCTGTTTAGAATTCTTAGATCTTTTTAATGTATAAACTGGTTCACTAACCCAAATAAACACGCATGGGAATCAGTCAGTATAAGACTAAGCAACTTAAAATTTATTTTTGACCAGGCAGTGGTAGCTGTAATTCCAGTACTCATCAGTCAGAAGAAGCATTGTGGAGAGCTCTGTGAGTTCCAGGCCAGCCTGGAAGGTCTAAAAGGCAACCTTCAGGATAACCAGGACCACACAGTAAAACAGACTCCAAAATCAATAAAAATAATTATTTTTGCCTAAGTATAAGGACACAGGCCTGTCATCATGAAATCAAGGTAAGCATGGACTATATAAAAACAAAGAAAGGGAACTTTATTTGGAACAGGCAAGTTAGATGCAAGACTTACCACATCCCAGGAGGAGGAGGAGGAGGGGGAGGAGGAGTGCTATCCGTAAAAGTCAAGTTCGTTTGTCTTTTGATTGTTGTTTGACACAGAGATGACCTTGAACTCAGAGATGCACCTGCCTCTACCCCACTAGTGCTGGGATTAGAAAAACAAGAGAAAAAGTGCCTCACTGTTGGAAAATAAACAAAACTTGTTTTAACCTGTACTACTCGGAGAACCAGCAGCTGAAGTAACACATTTCCTAATACCTGGAATACTAAGTACTTCAGGACTACACCACAGGTTTCCCACGATTCAAAGAAATCCCCCAAGACCAGGAGACAGCCTGGATCCTTCCAGGCTGAGAGAGAGAGAGAGAGAGAGAGAGAGAGAGAGAGGG